CCAGTACTTGAAATTCCCTTCGAGTTAACTGAACTAACTATCTACATCCGGACCTTGAGATCTTAGGCCTTGGGGTCTAAGCCTAACTCGTCTACTACTCCCTCGTGGATCCGCGGATCGTCTCGATCCACTATCTTTCGTCACTGTTTCGTTTCCCGAGTACCACGAGATTCGGCGAATCCATGAACTGACCTGGGAAACACGAAATGTTGGCACTGACAGGCATATCGGGCATGGTCGGACGTTCACGTCCCCGAACAGCGTACAATTCAATAGCGAGCGATCGCGCGGCGAGAACCGATTATATTCTTTTTTCTTTTTTCTTTTTCTAGCGTCTGTACTCCTCCGGTTTTTTACTTTTGTGCTTCGGAATAGCTATACACACCCGGAGCTACCTAGGTCTCTCCGCGTACGAGAACTAATCACCTAATCGAACCAACTAGAAAGAGCTTAACCATAAAAACGCCCGCCCTGACAATTGATTCGCGCGTAAAACGGTTCCGCTTGTTCCTCGTACAAAATGAAAATTGATTTGTCTTGCCGGAGGCGAGCTGATTGTGACTTGCAACGCAATTCCTGGCCCACAATTGCATCCCCGTTAATTGTCCCCCTCATGTCTGAACTTCGATTTTCCTTGGAACAAAGGCAAGAACTATTTTCCAGTTTAGAACACCCCGAATCCTTTGCTGGCGTATCAGCTGGCTTCACCCGGGGTCAGCTGAGCACTTGCTTTCAATTGTTAGGCCACTGTTAGGTCGATGAAGTCAGGATTGCGAGCTAGGTATTCGTTCAAAGTTAGGCCAGGCTAGACTCTGGCTACGTTTGGGCTAGGTCTTAGTTAGCCACCAGGGCTGAAGCTAGACCAAGACGGAATCTGGCAAAATTTAGGCTAGGTTTCGTTAGCTGCCAGTGTCCACAGTGGTCTACGTTAGGCTCCATCAGCCCTTAGGCTTCAAGGCTAGACTCGTGTTGAACACTGGTTAAATTGAGGCCAGGTCTTTTTTAGCTACCAAAGTCCCAGTTGGATTTAGTTCAGGTCCTGGTTAAGTTTGGGTTCGGCTATCTCCTAATGAAGACAGCTGCAGCCAGCAAACGAAGAGTGATTCAGACTGGAAGTCCTGAGGAGTTGTAGCTATTTTTAGGCTACCGTCGTCAAAGAGGATATAAGGTAAACGATATAAATACTGGATTGTCGGATTCGGAGCGGTCGAAATGAACTGAGGAAGCCACTCTTGGGGCAGGCGAGAAGTCTGAACAGAGGGCGACGTGAACGTCGCCGAAGAGAGAGGACGAACCGAAATGAAACGAGGTGACGCGAGGAAGGATAATCGACAGCTTTTCCGATGGCTCAAGGATTCGCATTTTCTTTTTTGTTCTTCCCGTGGAAAATGATATTCGATACAGAGACTCGAGTGATTGTCGTTTAACTATACCATAGTACTCGTTTGAATCCTGCGTGCTTAATTAAGACAGGATCCGCTACACGAGTGTCATCTACACGCTACAATTTTGTCGTTATATGACCGAATCCTTGTCTCCGATTTTACTCGTCGACTTAACAGCTACTACCTTAGATAAATTCCTACGGTGACGCGCGACGCTAGAACTACCGGACAGCCGAGGTCGGCTGGGTTGCCTGTGGTCTCCGTTTTCTTTTTTTTCTTTTTATAAAAACACGACGGGATCGCTGAACCCTCGCCTTATGTACACAAAGAACGTCTAATTGAATTTTGCTTTTGGTGAACTTTCCGAGTGGCACCCGTGTATCGGCCGTGGTAAAGACCGACGTCTGGGTAGTTCTAGCGCGAACCGGTCGCGTGTTCTGTCCTGGCTCGAGGACACCCTTCCGGTTTCATTTTTCCTAACTACCTGTGCATGATTTCCCCCACGTTGTCTGCCGTTAGGCAACGTCATGATCAACCTCGTACCGACTTCGTCTTTCGCGGCTTACCTATGCTTTGCTTGGCGATACATCGATGTTACAACAGCGACAGCGATTCTAACGATCAACTAACGAGTAATAGAGCGATCGAGACCTACGTCGGCCCCTGCCTGGGTCGTCTACAGGACCCTGAAGAGGGTCCTACGCGGACCGGCGTAAGGGACCGAGACCTAAAGTTTATGAAGGAACGTATGTCGGATATAATTCAATTAATCGCCCGACTGTTCGGTGCGATGCGCTTACATAAAGATAGAACTAGCCCAAGATGCCTGGTCCACAAGGGACCAGAGGTCGGGGGCCTAGGTGGGAAGTTATAACTCCCGGCTACCGACCTCCGACGCCCGTAGGACGAGGCGTTATTCGAGGGTCGAAAGATTTAGCTGGCCGCTACGCCGTCATTGTGGACCGGCAAGGATTTCACGTGCACACCATTGATAACGAGGTCTTCGTCGGCTCTGAAGGCCAGCCGGTGGATGGGGAGGCTACTCTGCGCAGGACACATTGGCCACGAAATGTGCGGAATCTGCCTGCAGCGTCGTGCCATGGAAATTGAGCCGATTCGGCGCAGGAGGTAGCACGTCGTCTGTCCGAGGACTCCCCTCTGAGAGACCCGATCATCGGTCGAAAGGAGACTGGGGCTGGTGTCACTGCTGATTCTCGTTAAACGTCTTTGAAAATTACAGTCTCAGGTGGTTCGATTCGCTCGGGTAGTCACACATCTTCTGCAACAAGGCGAGCATTAAGCTAGGCCTGGGGCTCTGCTGTCCCCCTAGTGAGTCTGAAGCTATTGGACGTTCTTTAAACAAGTTTCCGGTATTATCCTCACTGCAACTTCGTCGGTTTATCAATTCCAAGCTTTAAAATTAGCTGCCGGGATGGGTTAGGCTGTGGGGAGCTGGACCCCCCCAAAGGTAGCTATCAGAGGGCAGACGCCTCTAACGAGATCCAGCAGACTACAGACACGGTGAACGTTCCTGACGAGTGCTCCGCCACCTGTACCAGGTCCTCGAGTGCATGCACACCGGAGCTAACCAGTGTAGGGGCTGGGACCTCCACAGTTCTAGATGATGGGACTTCCATGGAAGAGAAAAGCAGGCAAGAAGATCGTGGAATCACTCGGTCAACGGGCACACCATCCTTCGGAGATCCTTCTCCAGGAATAGGACAAAGGAACGTCGAACTGGTCCCAAAATACTCCATCGAATGAAGACAAGTTCCTGTTGATATGTCGATGAACCTGGAGTCCCCCTAGCTAGATAGCAGCGAGAGTCCTAGGCCGAGACCTGGACCAGAGAGTCCTGCTGGCTGTCGAATGAACTGTACAGCCCTGCGAACGGACTGGGACCGGTGCGACGACCTCTATCGTGAACCTGTCACCCGAACCCTAACATACGAACGCCGTTAGGCGTGTCCTGGCCAACGAGATCCCCTTTTGTCTCTCCCGAAGTTTGCCTCTCTCTCTACTTTGCTTGACCCTGTGTGTCTTTTAAACGCTTTCGCCTCGTAGGAAAAATTAAATACTCGCTTAATTCAACAACCGGCACCCATCGACGCCCGATCGAGGCTTTGGGTGCGCGTTAAAAGTATCTTCTCCGATCTTGCCAGCCCGTTCCGAACGGATCCTATCGTCCCCTCCTACCGCGACCCTGAGTCGTCGTCACAGTCCTGGTGACACCGGATCATCTCGCTTTCAGGGGTCAGGTCCGTGAACGCGACGGTTCAGGGAGGGCCCTGGATTAATCCTGGTTCGAACGACGCCTAAGGCCCCGATTAGGCAAGCAGACAGTCCTGAACTTCCAACGATATATTTTTACACAGTTACCGATAAGTAATTTTGTTTAAACCTGATCTACACGCGGTGTCTCACTCTCACCAGACTTTCAGCATCCTCGATTCTCTCCCCGGCGCAATTTCTCCATCATTCTCTCTTACCACTCTCTCTCTCTCTCTCTCTCTCTCTCTCTCTCTCTCTCTTTCGCTCTCTTTCTCTCCCTCGTACTCCTACCGCATATACCGCATATACAATATATTCATTAATAGATTAATCTTTTCATCTAATTCATTACATAATCCGTAACTTCGGTAACCCTAGACTTATCTGTTATTAATAAAATATAGATTATAGAGATGCAGTCACGCCCATTTTTCAGATATACCTATTTACCGTGCGATATACCAAATATACATATACATATACGTGTTTGAACATATATTTATTTATATATATATGTAATATATGCACGCTCGTAGGTGTATTATATGGGGGATATACGTTGTGTGTGTATGTGTGTATGTCTGTCCGTGTGTGTACGTAGTGTGTGACAGTGTGTAATATTTATCTACGTGTACGTCTCTGTAGTGTCGTCGGGTTCCGACGAACCCGTTTTCTTNAACGGGCACACCATCCTTCGGAGATCCTTCTCCAGGAATAGGACAAAGGAACGTCGAACTGGTCCCAAAATACTCCATCGAATGAAGACAAGTTCCTGTTGATATGTCGATGAACCTGGAGTCCCCCTAGCTAGATAGCAGCGAGAGTCCTAGGCCGAGACCTGGACCAGAGAGTCCTGCTGGCTGTCGAATGAACTGTACAGCCCTGCGAACGGACTGGGACCGGTGCGACGACCTCTATCGTGAACCTGTCACCCGAACCCTAACATACGAACGCCGTTAGGCGTGTCCTGGCCAACGAGATCCCCTTTTGTCTCTCCCGAAGTTTGCCTCTCTCTCTACTTTGCTTGACCCTGTGTGTCTTTTAAACGCTTTCGCCTCGTAGGAAAAATTAAATACTCGCTTAATTCAACAACCGGCACCCATCGACGCCCGATCGAGGCTTTGGGTGCGCGTTAAAAGTATCTTCTCCGATCTTGCCAGCCCGTTCCGAACGGATCCTATCGTCCCCTCCTACCGCGACCCTGAGTCGTCGTCACAGTCCTGGTGACACCGGATCATCTCGCTTTCAGGGGTCAGGTCCGTGAACGCGACGGTTCAGGGAGGGCCCTGGATTAATCCTGGTTCGAACGACGCCTAAGGCCCCGATTAGGCAAGCAGACAGTCCTGAACTTCCAACGATATATTTTTACACAGTTACCGATAAGTAATTTTGTTTAAACCTGATCTACACGCGGTGTCTCACTCTCACCAGACTTTCAGCATCCTCGATTCTCTCCCCGGCGCAATTTCTCCATCATTCTCTCTTACCACTCTCTCTCTCTCTCTCTCTCTCTCTCTCTCTCTCTCTCTTTCGCTCTCTTTCTCTCCCTCGTACTCCTACCGCATATACCGCATATACAATATATTCATTAATAGATTAATCTTTTCATCTAATTCATTACATAATCCGTAACTTCGGTAACCCTAGACTTATCTGTTATTAATAAAATATAGATTATAGAGATGCAGTCACGCCCATTTTTCAGATATACCTATTTACCGTGCGATATACCANTCTCTCTCTCTCTCTCTCTCTCTCTCTCTCTCTCTTTCGCTCTCTTTCTCTCCCTCGTACTCCTACCGCATATACCGCATATACAATATATTCATTAATAGATTAATCTTTTCATCTAATTCATTACATAATCCGTAACTTCGGTAACCCTAGACTTATCTGTTATTAATAAAATATAGATTATAGAGATGCAGTCACGCCCATTTTTCAGATATACCTATTTACCGTGCGATATACCAAATATACATATACATATACGTGTTTGAACATATATTTATTTATATATATATGTAATATATGCACGCTCGTAGGTGTATTATATGGGGGATATACGTTGTGTGTGTATGTGTGTATGTCTGTCCGTGTGTGTACGTAGTGTGTGACAGTGTGTAATATTTATCTACGTGTACGTCTCTGTAGTGTCGTCGGGTTCCGACGAACCCGTTTTCTTTACATACATGCCGTGTGCTTATTTAATGTGTGTCACGTCTCACCGCTATAGTGACTAATAACCTCTGTAGGCTAAGCTTCGTCTACTGCGTGGCTCGAACCAGACCCCGAATTTCCTTGGTCCGAACAGTTTTATTCATTTCATTTCTTTTTTATTTTTATTTTTTTCCTTTTGCTCAGGTTTAGCTTCATTCGACGATTGGGCTCGACTCGATTACGCGGGTGTTTTCAGCATCGTCCTAATTCGACTCGGAAAGAAAGGGGATCGTTTCTCGATCATGCTCAGCGTGTCTGACCCTCCGGGGACACCTCGGACGTCGCTGTTCTTTCGTTAGCTGACTTTGGTACGCTTTTGGTAGACTGCTACTCAGGGAATACTTTGTACTTGGAACGTTTCGACGCGGTTTGACGAGATCCGATAGCTTGATTGTCACAGTTTCATGTCGCATCCTCTGGGGGGTCACTGAACAGGGATGTCCGACCCTGCCGGCCGTCATTCCGTCGGCTACCGATTGTTTGGCGATGTTCGACGCGCGCAAGTATAGCCGAGCGTGATCTACCAGATCCGATCGATCGATCGACCGATCGTCCGCAAAGGGTGGTGTGTGGAAGGAGCGTTTTGTCCGCCGTGGATCTATTTTAGAACTTCGAACGATCAGAGCAATCGAGAGTCGTCTTGCCATTTGGTCTCTATAGTATATAAAAATACGTCGTCTATATGAGGAAGTTACGTTGAATATGTATACATCTATAATATTAGAACAACTCTTCTAGAATTTCGCAAAGGAGTTTACGTTGGTCTGGAGAAATTTCGGAGCCTGAGTATCCGCGACACCATGTAGCGAGTGCTGGCTATCCCAACCCTCACATCGGCCCCCCTCAACCCAGCTAATGATATACTCAATCTAAATCGTCCGCAGGGTGCCACCTCGAGCCACGACGTGCCCGAGCGAGCCCGGGGACCTCTGCGCGTCACCGAAATCTACCGATTCGAAAATCAGAAATTGCTGCTGTACCGTGAAACGAGATTATTCGTTCGAAAATGTTCCGAAGGAAGTGTCGAGATGTTTGTTGAAACGTTATCGGACCGGATGTTGGAGCATGTTTGACACCCTGCGGATAATCTACAACCCGGTACGGCTGGCCCGTTTGATTCACCGAATTGATTATCTTTTTTTTTCTTCTTTAAAGCTTTCACTACTGTCCCTCGTTTAGAAATCTATCTTTTTTTTTGTTTTTGGCGGAAATCAGAAAGAAGAGGAAAATCATTGTCGTCGCAATGAACGTGAAGATCTGTTCGGTTTCGGGAACTATGTCGGACGAATTGTCTAAACGATCAGAAAAGAACATGGACTGAAAACGATTGTACGAAAGAACGGGCGTCTGTGCGCGCGCGCGTGTGTCTCTGTGTCGCGTGTGTTCGATCAGGTGTGAACTGGGAATGTGTTGAGAAAAGCTCCTAGATAAGAATCAACGCAGAATGGTAACGCCGGACGACGGGCCTCGGGTCGCTTGGACAACACACCGTCGGCTCGACGTCGGTTTGGCGGCGTTTACAGGCATTTCAGGTACGCTTGCGAGACATTGTGCCGGAAATACTATTGTGCGGGAGGCCTTCAACTGGTTCCCTAGCGCCGAACAAGACTCCCCCCCACGCGATTCCTTTTGTGCTGTATCGTGGCGGTCAGCGCGGGACAATTGAAAGAGCCTGTTTTAATACTTAAAAGGAGAACCTTAAAGTAGAGGACGCACTGCGAGGCAATGAATTCCAAACATCGACGTCCGAGCGGACACGCCGGAGTCCTTTCTTCGAATGCGAGAATTATTTCGCGGACCACGCGCGATCCGTACAAGCCGCGCCCAGTCTCCAAAATGATTCACGACGTCGGAAAGAGGACCGAGGCGTCCGCTCGGACGACGTCGAGTGTCAAACGATCGCTGGAGAAACAAGCCTATCCCAAGGAAGTCACGGAAAAGTGTCCCTGAACCGAAAATAACGTGAACGTGTCGTGTACGTGTGTACCCGGTGTGAACGTGTGACGAGTCAGCGTCTCGCACGACGGACGCTTTTCCCTCCTTGTCTCGGTAGAGTCTATAAATGCAGTCATCGGATTAAATAATGTAAATATATCGGAGATTCGAAAGACAGATCATAGATGCAAAGACTGGCCCCTTCGCTCATGCCGGCTACTCGCTACGTCTCTACTGATTGGTCGATTCTCACTCTCCCCAGCCATCCACGAACTGGCCCCCGGCGAGCTGAACTTCACGCTTCTGCCTTTGCCAAAAGATAGAGGGGGTCATCGAGCCCTAGGTGCTAGAAGAGCTATCAGACTGCAGGTGGTCGTTAGGAGAACTATTGGGAGCTGGCTAGGAGGGTCGCCAGGATTAAAGGACGTTAGGAGTGTCATCTGGACTGTAGGAGATGTCAAGAGTGTTAGGATCCTGACATCAGTTAAGATGTCAGGATCTGGGTGGTAGCTAGAAGTGTTATCTTGATTTGGATAGGTGCTAGAAGAGCTGCCAAACTCTAGATGATTATTGGAAGAACTATGTGTGGACTTGCTAGTGATCAGGAACAGGGGATGCCAGGAGTGTCATCAGGACCTGTAAGTCAGCTTGGAGTCTTGTTTGGGTCGGGAAAGATGCTAGAGCAGCAACCAGACTTTATGTGATTGCTGAAAGGACTATGTGGACCTGGTCGCCAGAATTGCCAGCAAGGTTAGGGGATAATGGACAGTCGTCAGAAGTGTCTTCAGCACCCGGACGAATGCCGGAGGATCCGGCAAACCCCAAAATCTGAAGGACCCCAATAGCCAGACCCGAAAGCCGTCGCCAGGCGCCGAATCCTGTCGGCTGAAGGAGAGACCCCACCCTAGAATTAACGGCTAGCCTACTTTGGCACAAACAACACTGCCCGGGCCGGCACTCGCTTTGTTAAATATATTTTTTTGTAGTTTTTTCTTCTTCTGTTTATCTGTTTCACTCACATCGCTTCGAGTCGCATTAGTCTCTTTCTCTCTGGCTCACGCAACAGCACTCGCTCCGTCACTAGCACTCTCTCGACGGTCCTCTCTCTCGCACGCACACCATCCATTCTCGCCACGCCACTTTCACGCGCATTTCCCTCCGCTACCAATCTCTACACACGGTCGATACGTATATTTAATAAGATTTAATTGACTCCAACAGAACGTCGAGTAGACAGAAACTTTTCCGGGCGTCCGTGGTCGCGTCGCGACGACGCTGCCCCGGCGCGTTTGATAAGACGTCCTCGGTGGCCGACGAACGGAACGAACGCGACGGACGCGGCGTCGCGACGCCACCGACAGAGGGCCAGTTCAGATCACGACGCTACGACACTACTGATAATTTATTTCTCGCCCGGTGGCGCGAGGACCGGGCCCCAGCTCTCCGCCATAGTCTCGAGTATGTTTCGCGTTAATGTCCGTGTCCGTGGGGGGCGCCGGGAAAGCAGCCCCTCTCCTCCCCGTCGGCCAGATACAAGCGTCCCCTCGGGCCACTCCTCTGGTTTCCATTAATATATTTATATATATACATATATAATATATTTACGCTCTGCAGTGTAACGGCTACGTGTATCATAGAGTTTTTCATCGTGATTTATCGTGGTACGCGACACCGGCGAGTTCAACATCGTTCAAAAACACAACAGACCTCCCCGAACTGTTAGCCTCTCCGCTCCCCTGACCTTGGGTTCAGGCTAAGCGTCACCCTAGCGGGGGCGGGCGCCCTCTTCGCGCCGCCATGTCGACAGGAATGCTTGGAGATCAGGAACTAATCGTCAGCCGGATGGAAAAGTAAACGAGGTCGAACCGTCGTCATCCAGGCGTTCCAGAATTCCCCCCCACTGATACAGAGTCCCCCCTCTCCTCTACGCATGTACAAACTCGTTTCACATCTAGCTCTTATCTTTTTTTTTTGTTTGTTTGTTTAATTAGCGATATGTTTAACGGTTCACTCCCTTCTCCTTGTCAATATACGTGTGGTGTGACCCTTATTTAATTACGATTAAAGATTCTACACAATCCTAAGCACCTATCAGCTAAGAAACCTGCGTCTCTGTGTGTGTGTATCTGTGTGTGTATCGTGTTTCACTCTCTCTCCGTGTCTCTGTGTTCCTGTCTCTGTGTGTACATAAATGTCCGTGTCTCTCTGTGCGAACTCTCGTGTCTGTCTCTGTCTCTGTGTGTATGTGTGTATGAATGTCGCGTGTCGCGTGTACGGCGTGTGATTAATACTTATCGTCGAACATACAAATTATAAAAATACCACCCGCAACGACGTACGACAGCGTCAACGATCCCGCCACGTGGCCAGTCGAGCTAAACACACGATCGAACCCGATAATGGTCGACGGCCGAGCCCCCGTCGAGGCAGCGGGCCGCCGAGAATACTGAAGGTACACTTTCAGGAGGAGAACAGAAAAATATATAATATATAGATCGAAGGAGAAAACGCATATAGAAGAATCGGGTGGCCCACGAAGAAGCACCGGCTGCGACGCGTGGCGCGAGAAAACCTCGATAAAACGCTCGCGTCGTTCCCCGGGGCCCCGTCTTCGCGCGCCGCAGGTGGGCAGACGGCGAGTGGGCCCAGAATGAAACGGCGCGAGCAGCTCGCGGATAAACTGCCAAGGGTCCCGTTCACAATCAGCCCTAACAAATTAGACCTTGGTACCCGACGATCGCGAAGCCACCGTCGTCATCTCGTCATCGTCACAATCATCGCCGTCGCCGATCATCGTCGGGTACCCCCTACTTTCATTCATGCTACCTCCTTGTTTTTGTCCTAGACTGTGCACGTGGCTTATGCGCCGACTGAAAAACTCGTCGACAATTTTTCACTTACATGCTAACAAAGACGCGTGATCCAATGATCGATCGAACGGTCGTCCCAGATCCGTTTTTCTTCTATCATATCATATCATATTGTATTTTTTTTTGTTTGTTTGTTTGTTTAACTTTAAAAATCCTTAACATCGTTACTCGGTTTCAAGATGTACTTTTTTTTTCTCGCTCGGCCATCGGTCGGCTAGCGTCACGCTTGTAAAATATATAATATATATTTATATATATATCTGTATATATGTATATATATATAATATATATATACCTTATACTTTAAAGATAAACTCTGTACAAGAGCCGAGGGGCTCTTCGACCGAGTCCCTCCTTCGTACCCATTTTTTAATCCTAGGTCTCTCCCTCCTCCCTTCAGAATACTCGTGTGTGTATATATGCGTGTGCGCGCGCACACGTCGAGCGCGGGCGCGCGCGCACGTGTCTCTCTTTCGTTAGACGCGGGAGACACGAGCTTCGGTGCTCTCCCCTCTCTCTTTCTCTCTGAACGGTTCTGGCTTTCAATTAAATCGCTCGTTTCGTACCCCGGGTCATTCATTATTTCGCGCCGCCTGGAAAACCAGCACCGGTTCCTGAATACAGAGTCCGCGACGCCGCTTTACTTTCGGTCAACCCGATCCTCCTCGTCCTCCCCCCCCCATCCCCACCCCCACTCCCTCCCCACTCTGTATAGCCCATCTAACATCAATCCCAACCCGTAAACCTGGTTCGCGGTTCCTCCGTTGCGCAGCCCTAATCCATTTTTGTTTTCTGTTTCCAGGCCGTGAGTCCTGCGTGGAAAACCCTTACGCAGCGTGTCTCTGTTCGTGATCGAATGAGAAGAAAAACATAGAAATGGATACACAGTATTGTACTCCCGGGAGGGGCCGGAAAGTACTCGTAGTCGTGGTGGTTCGTCCGGGCCCCGAAATCCGGGGACCAACAAGCTCGGCGGTGTCGGCTTCCTTTCGCTTTTCTCTGTCATGCTGCGTTGCTGTTCATTTTAGTTTGTTTCTCTGGTACGCTCGTACCAAGCACGATAGAACGGCGGCGGCGGTGGTGGTGGTGGTGGTGGTGGCCAGTCAATGAGGTTGCAGCCTTTGTAGGAACGGATGAGCAACGGACTGGACCCATCGCAAGGATCATCAGTCGTACACTGCGCCGGGTGACCAAAAGGGGACTAGGGCGTAGGGCTGGTACCACTGCCGGTCGTTTGATTGCGACTCTTGTTAGATGTTGCTCTTGGAAAATGATACTCTCAGGTGGTTGGATTCGCTCAGCTGGTAGTTGTGCATTTTCTGGAACAAGCCGCCCGTCAGTTTTTCCGCAGTAGCTAAGTTAGGCCTACGCTTGTCCTGCCCTCTACATATTCCGAAGTCGTACGACATTCTTTGAACAAATTTTCTTTGCTATTCTCACTCTAGCTACCTCGGTTCATCGATTCTAATTGTTACGCGTATGGAACTAACGCGGATATGGGCTGTATCTTACGCGGTAGCTAAGCTAGGCCTACGCTTGTGCTGTCCTCTAAGCATTCTCACGTTTTAGGACCTTCCATGAACAAATTTTCTTTGCCATTCTCGATCTAACTATCTCATTTCATCGATTCTAATCGCTAAATGTATGTATCCGATCCGGACATGACTTAATCTTTCGTGGTAGCTAAGCTAGGCCAGGACTCGTGCTGCCCTCTAGTTATTCCGAAGCCGTAGGACCTATTCTGAAGAAATTTATATTGCTATCTAGGCTCAAACTACGTGAATTCATCAATTCTGATCTTGAAACGCATGTATTTAGTCCGGATACGGCTAAATCTAACGCGATAGCTAAGCTAGGCCCAAGTCAAGTTGCTTCCCTGGTCATTATAAACTCCCAGGACCTTTTTTAACCAGATTTCCTTCGCTATCCTCACTGTAACTACGTAAATTTATCAATTCTAATGTTCGAACTGAAGTGCCGAGTCCGTATCAAGTTCTACGGTTCATTAAGTTTGCAACGGTAGCTAACCGAGGGCATCAGTCGCTCTGGCCGCTGAACCTACCGGATCCCCCAATTGCAAATGACGATTCTCCGGTCAGAGTAAGCCTAAGCTGCAGTGTCCAAGGATTAGGGATACTTACGATCAGAGCAGTAACAGCATCGTCCATGCTAGGCATCTGTATGAGGGCCATTTTCCTGTCTTTCGGGAAGAACTTGAAAGCCTTCACGGTGAATCCGTTCTTAGTGAAAGCATCCCTGATCTCCTCCTCGGTTACAGTGTTACTGAAAACGTCGCGTCGATTAGCGAAACCGCGAATCGTCGCCGCGACGACGACGGGTCTCCATCGGCGGAGAACAGCGATTTCTCTCGCGTTGGTCGCTCGGCTTGTAAACGAAAATGGACGACTTCTCGAGCCGACAATGCGAGAGAAATCACTGGACCGTGGAACGTCACTTACGGAATATTCGATAAATGCAAGGTTGCGCTCGGTGGGTAGATGTTCTGATAATTTTTCGAGCCTGGTTTCTTGAATCGGTGAAGGGGACTGTTGGTGTAATCCTTCGTCAAACCCGCGTCTGGCTGTCCCTCCTTCGGCAACTGAACAGTTTGATGCTTGCTAAGCATCACTTTGATCTGCTTCCCAAACACTCTCAGCTTGTCCATGTGTGTCAATGCTGTCGTGGAACAAGAAATCGTGATAATAAAACACATATAAAACATATATATATAGACAGAGATAAAAATAGAGAGAGAGAGAGAGAGAGAGAGAGAGAGATATTGCCGTCACCGCTTAGGGGCCAGGCGCGTTCGTCTATAATTACCTAAGTGTGCCTGATGGGGTTCGGCCATCTGAATCAGTGCCGAGTCCTTCTTGTTGTAGAGAATCTTCACACGCTGTACATCCCCGTAAACGCCTACATGCACAACACGCAAACATCACCTTTAGTAAGTTCGACCGGGATCCCGGGGTCTAGGTATCTTATGACGGTGTCTAAGGGTCGTCGAAAAGATGATCGAGACAATAGATTCAGCCGACCGAAGACTGGGGGTACGATCGGACTAAGATCTGGGGCATGCATCGAGCCGATCAGCTCGACCACCGATCGAATCGAACGTCGTCGAACACCCGCGAACATCGGCAAAAATCGACTGGTTCGGACACGAAAAAAGAAATCGTACGATTTACGGCCGACGGATTCGGCTGTATTTTAACGGGGTTTCTCGACGTTCTATCGGTGGAGAAAGGGTCGAGCCGATCGGCTGCCGAGAAGTGAGCTCCTATATGGAATTACGTAAAATAAGCGAAAGCTTCTGTAATATTAAGAATATTAAGGTGTCTGGAACTGATATTAATAAAAATATTAACGAAACGAATTTAGAAGAGATGCTTGGAAGTAAAGAACATGAAAATAATAATATAACAATGCGTCTTATGGGCGGACGATGATTCGATGGCTCATGGCATGGGTGGATTATGTGATATGGAATGAAATAGCTGTAGTAATAAAATAAGTTGAAGTCACGAAAATATCGGGAAAAATATGAACGTTGATTGAGAATGTCAGAAAAAACGAATGAAATGTAAATAAATAAATAAACGAACAAATAAATAAAAAAAAGAACATCTCTATACAATATATCCGTATTTCACGTGAACAGGAGAGTGACAATGATCGAGATTTTCTGTATTAATAAAAATAAAATAAAGTTGTGAAAAAAGAGAGAGAGAGAAATGAAAACACATCCAACGAAAATTCTACTATCAGAATAGAAGAAAAAATTTTCAGCGACACGACAATGTCGACAGCGACGATCGTGATAGCGACACGCTATATTTTCCTGTTCGTGTTTTCTCGATATGTGACCGTGTGAATCATTCATTCCACGCGAATGCAAAAAAAAAGAAAGAAAAAAAAACGAACATCGCAAAAATCGTTTGTTCTTTCTCTTCACTCTCCGGGAAAAATGCTTCCAAACACGCGGAAACACGTGGAAAAACGTGTCGGTGTGTGTTCGTGTTTATGTGTTATGTGTATTTTCAGTTTTCGTATATTTGTGTTTCCGTGTTTTGTGTGTATGTGTATGCTTGTGTGTTTGTCAGTGTGTCCACGCATGTAAATATAATAATTAATAATGTAATATAATTAATAATATAAATGTAGAGACGTACCAAACAGGGTAAAGAGAGCGTCAGGCGTGACCATCTACACAGAGAACAGACAGAGTCCAGTCAGTAGTCAGCGAGTAAAATAGGATTCAATGTATAGTGTTGGCACGCGCACAAGTTTCACGGTTCTCATGCTTTCTCATGTTTTCATTTTTAGGGGCTTTCCAGACCTTTCGCTGATCGAGAAACATCCATCTCGAATCGCGTCTCGACAAGAACGTCAAAATAAATTGAAAAACGAGCGCGTTTCGATCGGAAAAAGAAATTTAACTACTGCAACTACAACAAGATTTTCTGTAAGCGAAAAAATAATATCGATCGATCGCTTACCCCCCTCCTCCCCTCCCCCCTTCCCAGTTTCCTGCACAGTTCGGCGAGTGGAGGAAAATAAACTTTGTACCGGCAAGAGTGTTTTCTGCGTCGTTTCGGTAAATTTTCGTTCTCGGCGAACTGTCCGTCGACTCCGGTTTAATTAATAAAAATTCTGGCGTGTGTGCAGATACTGGAAAATTCAATGACGCGCGGTTAATAAATGAATAAAAGTTTCCGAACGTTTGCCGGTGGCGTGTACCGTCCGCAGAAGTTGAGAGGAATGTATATAGAGGACACACGGTGTAGCCTCGGCGAGACGCGACTCGCAAATGCACCGACGTACACACACGATATATACGTCAGCGGCAGCGAAAGAGCTGGAACTCACTTTTCCGGTCGATTTTCCTTCGGCTGTCAGCCCTCCGCGATCGTGAGAGGAGGAAACAAGTACAGAGAAACAGACAGAGAAGACAGAGAGAACGGAGTGAAAGCAGAGAAACAGCCGGGACCTTCTCGTCAATATGAATCCCTCGTGGTTTTGTCGTTCCTCGTAACGCGGGAATGATTTCGCGGGGGGTTGAAAAAAAATACAAAGTAAAAAGTAGGGAAAAGTATATGTAAATATATACATATACATATTTACATACATATACATACATGTATATATATTTATACATAGATATATGTATGTATGTATGTATATACGTATACTTGAACGTCTGTTCGCCAGAGGGAGAAGACACTGGTCGGAAGCTTGTGCGCGCGGCGCAACGATAGTAGTACACATAGTTATAGTACAGTAGTGACAATAGTTGCAGCTGCGAAGTGTGACGTTGACACACAGTCTTCTAAGGAGGTGCTTTTCGTTTATAACTGCCCATACGAATGGTCAACGATACCGAAATAACAATTCTCTAATTAATATTTTATTAGCTGTGTATGTTCATAGAAATCTCAGACTGCAGATTAATTAAGGTCTAGCTGGATTCAGGTCTGAGTAGATTCAATTTTAAGTAGATTCTGGTCTGACTATATTGTGGTATAAATGGATTGAAGTTTCAGTAAATATTTAAGGCCAAGTTAAATTCAGATCTGACTTTGGTCTAAGTAGATTCAGGTCTAAATAGATTCAATTTTAATTAGATTCAGATCTAAGTGGATTCAGGCCTGACTACTTTAAGGTCTAAATAGATCGAGGTTTGAGTAGATTTAAATCAAAGTTAGATTCAGGTCTAAGTTAGATCTAAGTAGGTTCAAGTCTGAGTTAGATACAAGTAAATCAAGTTTGAGTTAAGTCTAAATACAGATCTGAGTTAGGTGTAAGTAGAGTCAAGTCTCGATTAGATCTAAGTAGAGTCTAAGTCTGGATTAGATATAAGCAGAATGAAGTCTGGATCAAGTGTATGTAGAATCAGGTCTGCGTTAGTCCAAGTAGATTTAGACCTTAGCTGTGTCTGGTTAGATTCAGGTCTGAGTTAGATCTAAGTAGATTTAGACCTTAGTTAACTCTAAGTAGATTTAGACCTTAGTTAACTCTAAGTCTGTCTCTTATACACATCTAGATGTGTATAAGAGACAGACTTAGAGTTAACTAAGGTCTAAATCTACTTAGATCTAACTCAGACCCTGTCTCTTATACACATCTAGATGTGTATAAGAGACAGACTTAGAGTTAACTAAGGTCTAAATCTACTTAGATCTAACTCAGACCCTGTCTCTTATACACATCTAGATGTGTATAAGAGACAGACTTAGAGTTAACTAAGGTCTAAATCTACTTAGATCTAACTCAGACCCTGTCTCTTATACACATCTAGATGTGTATAAGAGACAGACTTAGAGTTAACTAAGGTCTAAATCTACTTAGATCTAACTCAGACCCTGTCTCTTATACACATCTAGATGTGTATAAGAGACAGACTTAGAGTTAACTAAGGTCTAAATCTACTTAGATCTAACTCAGACCCTGTCTCTTATACACATCTAGATGTGTATAAGAGACAGACTTAGAGTTAACTAAGGTCTAAATCTACTTAGATCTAACTCAGACCCTGTCTCTTATACACATCTAGATGTGTATAAGAGACAGACTTAGAGTTAACTAAGGTCTAAATCTACTTAGATCTAACTCAGACCCTGTCTCTTATACACATCTAGATGTGTATAAGAGACAGACTTAGAGTTAACTAAGGTCTAAATCTACTTAGATCTAACTCAGACCCTGTCTCTTATACACATCTAGATGTGTATAAGAGACAGACTTAGAGTTAACTAAGGTCTAAATCTACTTAGATCTAACTCAGACCCTGTCTCTTATACACATCTAGATGTGTATAAGAGACAGACTTAGAGTTAACTAAGGTCTAAATCTACTTAGATCTAACTCAGACCCTGTCTCTTATACACATCTAGATGTGTATAAGAGACAGACTTAGAGTTAACTAAGGTCTAAATCTACTTAGATCTAACTCAGACCCTGTCTCTTATACACATCTAGATGTGTATAAGAGACAGACTTAGAGTTAACTAAGGTCTAAATCTACTTAGATCTAACTCAGACCCTGTCTCTTATACACATCTAGATGTGTATAAGAGACAGACTTAGAGTTAACTAAGGTCTAAATCTACTTAGATCTAACTCAGACCCTGTCTCTTATACACATCTAGATGTGTATAAGAGACAGACTTAGAGTTAACTAAGGTCTAAATCTACTTAGATCTAACTCAGACCCTGTCTCTTATACACATCTAGATGTGTATAAGAGACAGACTTAGAGTTAACTAAGGTCTAAATCTACTTAGATCTAACTCAGACCCTGTCTCTTATACACATCTAGATGTGTATAAGAGACAGACTTAGAGTTAACTAAGGTCTAAATCTACTTAGATCTAACTCAGACCCTGTCTCTTATACACATCTAGATGTGTATAAGAGACAGACTTAGAGTTAACTAAGGTCTAAATCTACTTAGATCTAACTCAGACCCTGTCTCTTATACACATCTAGATGTGTATAAGAGACAGACTTAGAGTTAACTAAGGTCTAAATCTACTTAGATCTAACTCAGACCCTGTCTCTTATACACATCTAGATGTGTATAAGAGACAGACTTAGAGTTAACTAAGGTCTAAATCTACTTAGATCTAACTCAGACCCTGTCTCTTATACACATCTAGATGTGTATAAGAGACAGACTTAGAGTTAACTAAGGTCTAAATCTACTTAGATCTAACTCAGACCCTGTCTCTTATACACATCTAGATGTGTATAAGAGACAGACTTAGAGTTAACTAAGGTCTAAATCTACTTAGATCTAACTCAGACCCTGTCTCTTATACACATCTAGATGTGTATAAGAGACAGTAGTTAACTCTAAGTAGATTTAGACCTTAGTTAACTCTAAGTAGATTCAGACCTCGCTCGCGTTCAAGTAAATTCAAACCTTACTTACTTCTAAATAGATTCAGGCCTAACGTCCAATCAAATCCACCCTAAAGTCAGACCAAGATCTAACCACGTCTGTCCACGCTAGAAAAAGTCAACGAAAAATATCTCCTCGATCTGAGAAACGAAAAGCACCTCTCGGGAAGCGAGACCGTAACCGACAACGCTACGACTCGATTAGGATAGAGAATGGTGACGTTCGGAACGATTTCTATATGTGTGTATCGAGAATGAGCGGGGTCAGAGGGTTGTGGACAAGATATATAGGGCTCGTGACGTAAAAAGGGCGGCATACGCATCGAGACCACGAGGTTCCTAGTCGCCGAAGGAGGCAGCAGCCGCTCGATACCGTCGGTCGTTGTAAACGATGCGGGGAAAATGAACAAACCCGGAGGAGTCTTTTCGCTAGAAACAATGCCAGTTTCACTGGTTGTTTTTGGGTCGATTAAACAGCGTGGAAAATCCGTGGCGAGACCGCGACGGTATCGAGGACTGTTCGGCGAGAGGAGCTCTCGCGTCGGTGGATGGGGAGACTGCAAGGGTTGCCTACGTAGCACTACGTTGTAATCGTATCGTAGTAGTTGCGTAACTTTCGTTGTATACGTACGTACCTAAGCCAGTTTCGTGTACATAGGCGGACACCGAGAGAAACGGCAGATTTTCTCAATGAACTTCGCGGCTAACTGAAATCTGACTACGGGCTCTTTTCACCGGTCTCGACGAAACACGCGTCGAAAAATTCTCCGTTGCAAAAATCTGCCGCGCCGTTGCTCTCAGTGTCGAATCAAGATTATCCTGGTCGTGGACAACAACGCAGTCCGCCGATGTACCATCGACGTCCTGCGTCCCGCGACGACAAAAAGAGAAGACACGAAGAAGGAGGCGAATCGTTGCGCGAGAATCGGCACCGAACGAGAACGTTGTTCAAGATTGCAAATAACAAAGCTGCAGAGTAAACTCTCCCAAATTGTCTCTCAAGCTTGCGAACGAAACTGGACAGCGATAGAAAGAGCACACGCGATCGTTATTAATTCATCATCGCATCTGCTCGTCCCAGATCGCCGATTTTTCTTTCAAAGCCGAGGGACGAATTCGAAAGGACTTACCGTGCAACGCCCGCCTTGGCTTCGTCACGGGAATTTTGTAAATCGCTCGCAACCAACGAGTAGCAACCTTCCCTTCGTGCTTCGATCGAGGCCCTTTCGCCCATCCCGTGTAATCGAGCCGCTAATTTCGTAGCGAATCGGCCGACCGTCCTTCGGCGGAGCACTTACCTCTTCGTTCAGGTTGCTGACGAGCAGCACGGCGGAGGTTTGCGCGTTGGTGGGCACACGAACCCCGAGGCCTGCCGCTCCGAGAGGGAAACCGCCGAGTCCAGCCAGGCCTCCAGCGGGTGGTACCCCATTGTAGGGACCCGCCAAGGGCGAGGGCAGGCCGTGCATGGCAGCAAAGGGCGTGGGCAGCACACCCGGTGCCCCTGCAATGGACTCTACTTCAGGAAATTTACAAGCTGTCGTTAGAATCGTTTGTAGTACTTTGGTCGGCGTGGTGTTGCAAACAATTTAGCAAATTTACAGTCTGGCCGAAGATGCATCGGCCGCTAAAGTTTGATTATCGTCGGCCACTAACGGTTTTAGACGCCGGCCTACCAAGCGCAGTAGCGTGAATTTACGGCGGGTGACAAAACTATATGTTTCATAATATCAGCAGCAAAAATAATCAGTATTCTCTGGCGAAAGCCCATGGCGCGTTGAGAACCACTGTGGCCTAGCAAGCTGGCAGCAAAGTGAAGCTACGGCACGAATTAACTCGCTCGGCTACTACGGGAAAATAAATCGAGCGAACTGTAACCACGGCGAGAACTCATGGCGGGGCTTGGGAACCCCTGCTGGCTCCGGATTTCAACCGGCGACGGTGTGCAGCTAGTACGCTAAGCGTAATTGGCAGCAAAAGTGTGCGCAGACTATATGGCTTGAATTGTTTTACTTAGCTGCTACAGCAACAAATCCAAATAAATTCATTCGCACCATGGCGTGAGCCCATGGTGCGGGGCACAGCCTCTATCGCGCCACGGTTTTCGTTGATAGAGGCTCGAGACTCGGCGCACTCCGCCATGGGTTCGCCATGCCTATTGCTAATGGTGAACAAGCTGTGGGAATTTTGATTAGCTATGATTCGCTGGTTTTTCGTGTCAAGGTCGATTTACCGTGGGCTTTCGCAGCCACTAGCACAATTTCGGCCACGATGTTCGTCGACGAATGGTGTTCGTCTCCCTTCTAACCAGACTGTATCTATCGGAAATCGGCGAATTACGTGATCCAATAAGTCAGACGATCGGTGGAAAACGTTTCAGAGTTATCATGGGCTTTTTCGGGGACGCGAGTACAATCTAGGTGCAGACGGTTGCGCTATGCGTTTTTTATGTTTTTCTTCTGTCTCCTGTCAATGGCAGTTTTTGCAAAAATTTACCTATTGTTTAGTGAACTAGTACCTCGAACATCTCAACAAAAATTCGCTGTTTCCCAAGATTTTTTTGCACCACATAATATAGCGTATAAACTTTGCGTCCTATGTTTTAAACAATTATGCGAATTCGAACGTCTGTAAAAGCTTTGGATAATTTTTCTCGTTGCTGAAACTACAGCGGTTTTGTAGATCGAAGTTTCCTCTTTCCAATGACCTGCAAAAATTTGAGCTACGATTTTTTCTAGCCGTTTTATCAAATTTTGTATGCGATGTGTGCGCGGTTAACTATAGAGTTATTTCGAATGCACTATAGGATTTTATACGAGCGAACTTATTCCTTCGTTTCTGATTCATAAAATGGCTGGAAAAAATCGTACGTCGATTTTTGAGGTGTCGTTGCAAAGAGGAGGCTTCGATCTTCGAATTGATGGAAAATTTAACGAGGAAACAAAATTGTTGAGGATTTTAGAGACGCTTGAATTTTCCCTATTTTCAAGCAAAATTGTATCTTCAGTTTACGACTCGCTGTAACTCGGAAAAAAAATCTGAGGAAAAAATGAACCACAGGAAGCAAAAGTAGAGACTTCAAGCTTTAAAACGAGTTAAGCTGTATCGTGATACGATTTTTTTTCACGAAATTATAATAACTTCAAGATCATCGATTTCATTGAAATCATGAGATCATGAGTAATTTAGACGATCGAATTTGATCCTCGTTTTTCATTTATAAAACAGCGAACAAAAATCGCTGATCAATTTTTGAGCAGTCGTTGGAAAGTAGAGATTTCAGTCTTGAAAATGAGTATAGTTCGACCACTGTACGATTTGTCTTCACGAAATAACAATGGACGGAACATGGTCCATTTGTCTTCAACCACGAGAGTTTATATTTTTCGTCGCTCGAACAATTTGTAATTTTAGCAAAAATCTCTCTAGCCATTGTGCAGCGAACTAGTCGGTGCAGCATGTCAGTTCCGCGGCTGATTGTAAATATGAAACGGCGAGAGATAAGGGTGGCAAGGGGGGGGGGTAAAGAAACGGTCCAGCGGAAAGTCGAAACATTCGGTGGCATCGATCGGCCTGGTATCCGTGTTCTCCCGTTGCAGCGCAATTAATTAATTTACCCGAGGAAATAATACCGTCTGACCGCACGCAATTCGATCCCGCTCGAAAATGGAGCTGAAAACGACCGGCAAATTGGAAGCAGGGAGACATGGCGGCGGCCGAGGCGGCACCGGCACCCGCCGGCTCGCGCAGTCACGAAATAACAATTTATCATAACGTTCGAATGACAGAAACGGGTCGGTATTGCTATTAATATAATTAATTCTAATGGACTGAACGCTGGGAAATCGCACGGCTAATTGATCGATCGATTCCCCGGGCCGGGGGCCCATCGATCCGCACCGGTGGCCACTGACTTCGTGAAAACATCGCGCGGAATGCCGAGGCACCATGTAAAATTTAATGGTGCATTTTACTCGATTCCGTAATCCGTTCCCGGCCGCTGCGCCCGGAATTGTTTGTACATTTTCCTACCCGCGTTCCCGTTCGTTCCCCTTATTTTTTTCCCCGGCTAAATAGAAAATCCATTACGGCCGCGAATAGTTCGAATTTCGGAAACGAAAGACTCGCTGCTCGGTCGGCGTTTATTAAATTCTGCGGTATTAACACAATCCTTGGCCACCGGCTCCTAATGATTCCACCTAAAACCGTGTACTCGTCGCTTCGGTTTTCACCGTTCCCGGATTTCACCGAGGTTCGAACTAATTTGTCCAGCTTCCCGAAAAATTTCAAGTCGCTCGGTCGATCGAAAAATATCCCGTGAAAGAAAGTACCAATGCCGAGGCACGCTTCACCGCGCGATAAAACCGTGCGGAAAAATCGTACGTCAAGTTTTAAGGAGTCATTTTAAACGGGAGACTTCCCACTACCATCTCATATTTCAAAGATTTCGAAAAACAATTCTTTGAACTCGGTACAGGTGACAGAATGCGCCAAATCTTGAAAAACGAGACTTCGATCTTTTACTTTATTTTTCATTGAGAAAGGGTCAAGCTAAACAAATAACATTCAAGGTTATTTCCACTATATTCAAGTAGAGACTTCGAGCTTTAAAATGAGTCGAGGTGTATCTTCGTACGATTATTCTCATCGAACTTACGAGACTTTGAATGTTATCGATATTTCGAAGCTCATTGGGTCATGAGAGATTCAAACGTTCGAACTTGCTCCTCGATTTTTATTCACGAAACAGCAAGAAAAGATCGTAGGCTAATTTCTGATAGCTCGTTGGAAAGTAGAGGCTCTGTTCTTCAAGATGAGTTTAGTTCGACCACTGTGCGACTTTTTTCCACGAAACAGCGATAGATTGAATATGGTCAATGTTTCTTCGATCGTAAGATCGAGTCACCCTTTGAAATAAGGACATGATATCCGAAGTCCAGCAGCGTTGCCAAGTGTGGGAACCGTGCAAAATGAGGTATAGATTTTCGATGGTAGTGTTCGTTTAAGTTTACGAAATCGTGGAACACGGGAACGAGCCTCGGGGACAGGAGAGGCCTAGTTTGCCGGTCGACGGAGATCAAACGGTGGACGGGAAGCAGTTCTTAGATCGCGCGCGACGAGGCTGTGATTAAAAAGTAGACACACGCGGCTGTTAACGAAAAACACATTCCGGCTGTTCTTCTTCTTCTTCTTTTTCTTCGTCCACGGCGTGCGCGAGTCGGAGGAAATAAAAGGGGGAATGTTTTAAAAAGCGAACCGTGCAGCCCCCGCGGGCTGATGCGAGCGGAGTAATGGAAACGCGCGGGATAACGGCGCACGGATGATGAAAATCCGGCGGAATTCAATTTTCATAATGAAAAAAACAGCCACGTTCTGGAAAGTTCCCGCTAAACTCGCCGGCCCGGTTACTAACTTGTCGGGAATTTCATTTCATAGATACTTCGCCTTCGTTCGAGACAGTTGCTTCTTCGTTATTGTACAACCGCGCCATTATTGTCGGGTCCACCTAGCGCAGGTGTTAATTAAATTTTATCTTAACGACGTCCGCCCCACTCCCGCCCGGCCGATGAATACCGGTACGAGCCACAAAGGCGCCGAAAGTTGCCGTTCAAAGCCCGAGATTCCCTGGGAATTGTCGAATTAGTTGGCCCGTCTCGAGCGGTTAACAAAGCATTTTTTAGCCGCCGACGGGATCGACGATTTCTCTGTAAAAAAATTGCGAGCGCCCACGAAACGCTGACGATAATAGCCCAGAAAATTTCGGATCGATAGGTTCGCCGGTTCGGTAAAGAAAAAAAAAAGAATTCCGAAACGTTGCCTCGATCTTCGACTAGCGAATTAAACTAATTAAACTAGACAATCGTTAATTGCGAATAGATTTGTCATCGCAGGGGTAAAGGTAGGTTTTAAATCGCAAGGTGATTAATCGGTGATCGATGCGATCGCCCTTCGAAGGAGGTAAAAGGTGCTTGTAACTCTGAAACGTTTTCTTATCGACGATGGCACACGATTTGTTTCTTCCTTTAATGAGGCTGACTTTATTGAATCCAAATGCAATTCGTCCGATTTGAGCGAATCATAGCTACTCACCGGGTATTCTAGCGCGTGGCTGTGACCCAGCACCCATCAGCAACTGTGGAAGAAGCTCACCTCCAAGTGCAAGCGATGCAGCGTCCAAATTCGCGTCACCGGTCGGCAGCGTCGGGTTGGTGTAGTCCCTCGACTTGTCGTTATTGTATTTCACGTTCAGGTTCTGCATCTTGCTGTAGTCGATGCGCAGTGTGCAACAGGAATTGTAGATGTTCTGGCCCTCCAGTGACTGGAAAAGAGAACCACCAACCGACATGTTACCGCACGAATTTTCATCGGACCGCGGAACCATCCGATCGGTGCTCGTTAGCCTCGTGATCCTCGGCGACAACCTGGTCATACATTAATTTACCGAGCGAAAAGAAATACAGCGAATCCCCTCGAATTGCCAACAATTGTACAAAACGAGTCGCGAGGCTCGAATAATCGTATCTGCTCTCCCCAAATTGTTCATTTTTGTGGGCAATCTGAGCGTCAATTGGGGAGAATTTACTGTATGTTGCTTTTACCGTGTGCCGTGTCTTTGAACAATGATTTCGATGAAAATGAATTATACACGGACAAAGTAGAGACTTCGGGCTTTAAAATGAGTTTAGTTTCGTTGCACTACGATTTTTATTCACGAAGTGATAATATTTATAACATCGTCGATGTTTCGATGGTTGGAAATTTTCTTGTATTATCTGGAACGAGCTTTCTCGTTCACTCTGTCGCGAATAAATTTTGTTAAAGAAATTGACGTACGGTCTTCGAAAGCTGACACTTCGAGCTTTAAAATGAGCCTAGTCCCATTGTCGTATGATTTTTTTGCACAAAGTTATAGCTGTTTAAAAATCAACAATTTGATCAACGAAAATGTGACCTATGCCAGCATGATTCCGCTCAATTAGGTCCATCAAAATTGAGTCTCAGACTCGCCTTGCGGTTCGTTTTTATAGTTACGAATTGTCAACGACTATAAAAACGAGCTGGAAGGCTCGAATAATCGTATCTCCTCTTTCAAAATTGTCCATTTTTGTGCACAATCGAAGCGTCAATTAGAGAGACATTACTGTAATCTGAGCGTCAGTTAGGGAGACATTACTGTATCGTTGACTTCCACAGGCGCCGCGATCACGCGAAAAAGTCGCGGATTCCGGTTATCGAGTGCGCTAACGAGTTCTAAGCAAGCGTGCAGATTTTCCAGCGAGAAGTTGCACACAGCCAGGCCAGGGGCACAGCGCAGTCGCAGTTAGGCCGGAAAGAGGCGGTCTAATTGTGTATGCAGGTTCAAGACTGCGTATGAATAGGTACAGGCACACACAGCCCGGAGCATGTCCAAGCAAACCTAGCCATGTGTTTGACCTGCGTATGCACCGCTGACCGTGCATTGTTGGAGCATGCACGTGCGCCTGCGACCGGACTACGTTTCGCTGTATCTCTCTGTCGGCCATTTACACGGGCTAATGAATTTCATACATAATTACCGGACCGGTTGCGTACAGGTGGCCCGTGGCGTCACCCGAGGGTTAAGACTACCCCACGCGTTACTCCTGGTATCGGGAGGCCAGGGATCAGGTCACGGCGAACCGTGTTACCGTCGCGATAAAAATTTGCCGAATTCTTGATAACGTGGCCTATCGTGCGATCACGACAAAAGGGTGGTAAATTCGAAAATTACTCAGAGCCGTGCATCGACCGACTAGTTTGGAAATGAAACCGCTGAGACCGACTAGATGTTCGCGAATTTTTAAACAAATGGTGGCTCGATGAAATTTTTTTTAGACTTTTAGGTTATTGTTGTGGGGATTTTACTGTACAGAAAATGTTTATTTTATTTGAATATGCTAATTTTTGGGGGAAATATTTCGAATCATCCAAGGAAAGCATTCAAAATTGGATCTAGATTCGCGAATTTTTAAATAAATTATGGCTCGATGAAATTTTTTTTAAACTTTCAGGTTATTGTTGTTCGGATTTTACTGTACAGAAAATATTTATTTTATTTCAATATGTGCTAATTTTTCCGTGAAATATTTCGAATCGTTCCAGGAAAGCCTTCAAAATTGGATCGAAATTCGCGAATTATTGAACAAATGGATCGATGAACTTCCTTCGAACTTTCAGGATATCTTTTTCGATGCTTCAGCGTACAGAAAAAAAATGTTTTCCGCCAAGAAAATAAATTCTTTGAGCTCCGGCGGGCTTTTGAAACCTAAATTACCATTGTTTACCCTGAACGTTCCATGGATCCGTGGCGGAGAGGGCCGGGCTAGCAGGAATGAGTGAAAAATATCGAATGCCGATTGTTAGATTTAATTTGCCGGAAGTTTCAACAGTTTTTCGCATTCCCGCGCGGAAAAGGGTAGCGCGGGAGCACCGTCCGCACTGGTCGAACTATTTTTAAGGCCGGCCGGGACCGGGGCTGCGATATTAAAATAATTTAATTTCAGATATCCGCGGAAGTTTCTTAGTCCGCGTTGCGTATTCTTTGTACGCCGACGAGCCGACCGCGGTGTGTCATTTCAACGGACTGATGAGAACGAAAGAAAAGCGGAAAAAAAGCGGCCGGGATATTGCGTTCCCGGGGTCCGGCCGCGTTTGCAACGGATTTTTAATGAATTTTCAAGCCCGAATTCTCTTACGGTCGCGCGTAATCAGTTTAAAATTATTTCGGTCTCAGCTAGCAGGGATCCCTAGTCCTCTAGCGTAAGCAATTAGTCAACCGGACGGTTTCTGCAAAGCGAACGTTAATAATTACGTTTCCCGGGGAATTCTTTCGGCCCGAAAATTAACGGGAATTAATAAACAGCTCGGCCTGGCCGGGACGTTTCGGATGAAAGTTCGGCGGAAAGTCAGCCAACGGCTGAAATTCGAAATCGAATAAAGGAACTTTATGGAACTGTTATAATTTCGCGACGAAGAATCCCGCGACAATAAAACTGATCTCGTTATGGAGCTTGAATCCTCTGTTTTCGCTAACCATTGTACATTTTCTCCGAAGATCGTATGATGCGGACGAAACTCAAGAAATCACGTTTTTCTTGAAAAAGGTGGCAGATTCGAACGTCTGCAAAAACTTCGAAAAATTTTTGTCGTCACTGAGACTATGATAGATTTGTAGAGTGAAGTTTTCTCTTTCCAAAGAGCTGCAAAAACTTGAGCTACGATTTTTTCCAGCCGTTTTATTACATTTTGTATGCAACGTGTGCGGGGCCATCTATGGAGTTATGTCAAATGCGCTGTAGGATTTTGCACGACCGAACATGCTCTTCGTTTCTATTTCATAAAGCAGCTAGAAAAAATCGCAGGTAAATTTTTGAGGAGTCGTTGAAAAGAGGAGGCTTCAGTCTTGAAATCTACTCCAGTTTCATTTCTGTAAAAAATTTTTCAATGAGTTTAGAGACGTTTGAATATCCCTCATTTTTAAGCAAAAGGATATCCTCAGTTTCCGACCCGGTGCAATAGAGAAAAAAATCTCAAGAGAAAATCAACTATGCACAGCGAAAGTAGAAGCTTTAAGCTTCAAAATGAATCAAGGTGTATCACCGTACTGTTTTGTATGCCGAAATTATGAGGCTTTGAATACCATCACTTTTTCGAAGTTTATTAGGTCACGAGGGATTTAATTCATCATACTTGTTTCTCTTTCCTGTTCAATAAAACAGCTAGAGAAAATCGTAGAGCAATTTTTGAGGAGTCATTGGAAAGAAGAGGCTTCAATCTTCAAATCCACATCAGTTCCATTTCCGAAAAAAATTTTTCAATGAATTGAACGAAGTTTGAATTTTCCCTATTTTTAAGCGAATAGGTGCCCTCAGTTCCCGATCCGGTGCAACAAGAACAAAAATTTCAAGAAAAAATCAACCACGTGCAGCGAAAGTAGAAGTTTCAAGCTTTAAAATGAATTAATCTGTATCATCATAAGAAATTTCTTCTGGAAATTATGAGACTTTTAATATCATCGATTTTTAAATCATGAGGAATTTAAACCACCGAATTTGTTCCTGGTTTTTGATTTACAGAACAACGGGAAAAAATCGTAGAGCAATTTTTTAGCAGTCGTTGGAAAGAGGAGGCTTCAGTCTTGAAATCCGTTATAGTTTGATTGCCGGAAAAAATTATCCAAAGTTTTCAGAGGTATTTCAATGTCACCCCGCAGGTGGTGCAGATTGAAGTGCTTCTAGAAGCTTCAGGAAATTATTGTTCGGACCGAATGCATAACAGCTTCGATGACAAATATAGAACCATTTCCTTGGAGAGCCGGCTGATCGAGGATCTTTATGGAAATCGGTATCGCCAGCGAATGCGTCGGGAGGGATATCGAATCAAAAGTTCCCGCCGAACACCGAGACACCCGGGGCCCGCCGAGGCCTTCGGCCGCCTAGCGAAACGTGATTTCCGGCTACCGAGAAATTTCGCGAATTTTCGCAGCCGTCTAGCGGCGCGCAGCACGCCGGCTAATAAAACGCGGCGCGGATTCGAATTTTCCTGGTGTAATCGAATTCGCCGGCAGCGCAGAGAACTCGTTCGTCCGCTCTCGAACGACCGAAGAAATTCGATTACCGCGGCAGAGTTTCTACCCTTCCTGCATCGATTGTTTACCACGCATCCAGCCCACCGCGCCCTCCCCCCCTCTTCCTCCTGTTGCCCTCAAACCGAGCGAAAATCCGCGCTCTTTTTTTTCTTTCGCGGGGCTCTCGGCCCCCCTCTCTGCCCCGCCTATCGGCACCCCGAGCGGCGTACGATTCGCGACTCGGCCCGCCCATCCTCCGGCAGAAAAAAGCCTTTGTCGGTTCGTTTCTGCCGGCGGACTCGCGAATGCGATTTCGCAATTTAGCGGAAGTCACGGGAACACGACCACAAAGCGACCCGTGGAACCGTTTCTCGCCGGCCGGCAAGAACCGGCCGAACGTTTTTGCGAATTCTACACGCGAAATCTCTGCGTTATTTCGTGTCTTCCGGCGGCGCGTTTTCACTTCAGCCGGCTGCGCGAGGCTAATTCGAATGTTAGGCGAACGTTTGTTGAATGAAACTGTTGGTTGCGCTTCGCAGCGATGCCAGAATGGGCCAATCTTTATTTTAAGGGTCCAGAGATATTTCGCTCTTTTATGTTTAGTCTCGTAGATTTCGCCGAGAAAATGCCAAAAATTCAAGTCCCAAGGCGCGCAAACCATTGGCTCGAAAGTTATTCGCGTTCGAAGTTGATTTTCGAGCGTTTTTGACATGTCGGTACGATGCCACATTGGA